CCTCAGCCTCCCAAGTAGCTGGGACTACAGGCACCTGCCACAATGCCTGGCTATTTTTTGGTTGTAGTTGTCATTGTTGTTTGGCAGGCCCAAGCTGGATTCAAACCTGCTAGCTCTGGTGCATGTGGCTAGCGCCTTAGCTGCTTGAGCTACAGGCACCGAGCCAAGGACTCAGATACTTGTATGTCTGTGTTATTGTAGCATTAGTCATAAAAGCCAAAAGATGGAGACAACTCGTGTCCATCAACAGATGAATGGATAAACAAAGTGTGGCATAGTTATGCAATAATAATACTACTCCACCATAAAAAGGAAATTCCCATATATTCTACCACCTTAAAACATGCTAAGTGAGGCTTGGCGCCTGTAGCTTAGCAGCTAGGGTGCCAGCCACATACACCAGGGCTGGCAGGTTTGAATCTAGCCCAGGCCTGCCAAACAACAATGATAACTACAACCAAAAATTAGTGGGGCATTGTGGTGGGCGCCTGTAGTTCTAGCTACTTGGGAGACTGAGGCAGAGAATCAATCCAAGATTTTGAGGTTGCTGTGAGCTGTGATGCCATGGCACTGTGCTGAGGGTGACATAGTGAGACTCTGTCAGAGTCTCAAAAAAAAAAAAACAAAAAAAAAACCTTGCTAAGTGAAGTAAGCCAGACACAAAAGAACAAATGTTGTGTTCCATTTATGTGAAATATCTAGAATAGGCCAATTCATAGAGATAGCAAATTCATAGTAGCTATGTGATTACATGCTCATGGTCTGGAGAGAGAGTGTAATGGGCAGTCAATTCCTTAATAGGTTGAGAATTTTTATGTGGGTGATGAAAAGTTTGGAGATAGTGCTAATGGTTGTACAACGTTGTAATTGTAACTGATGCCACTGGATTGTACACTGAAAATGGCAAATTTTATGACATATTTTAGCATAATAGAAAAAGAAAATGGATTGTATGCTGTTAGATCACTTTCAGTAATTATAAGTAAAGTAAGAAAAAATTGCTGTTGGCTCAGCCCTCATAACTCAGTGGTTAGGGCGTTGGCCATATACACCGGGGCTGTCAGGTTCAAACCCAGCCTGGGCCTGCTAAACAGCAATGACAACTGCAACAAAAAAATAGCCAGGTGTTGTGCCTGGTGCCTGTAGTCCCAGCTACTTGGGAGGCTGAGGCAAGAGAATCATTTACACCCAAGAGTTGGAGGTTGCTGTGAGATGTGATACCACAGCACTCTACCAAGGGTGACAACTTGAGACACTGTCTCAAAAAAAAAAAAAATTTGCTAAAGTAATACAGCAGGCCTGCAAGCACACAGCATAATTGAGAAATGAGCGGCATACTTAAAAGACAAAACTCTTTTTGAAGCATCAATTTATAGTACTTCTCATTGGAAGAAAGAATAAACAGGAGTGGCTCATGGATGCTCCTTTTCCTCTCCAAATAGCAAAGTGAATAAAGATAAACCTTCAGAGCAGGACAGTGGCCATGGAAGTTGGAATCTGCCAAGGAGCACATAACCCGTCACCTACACAAGAAAAAAAAGGAAAAAAGAAAAAATTATGGTCTCACAGCTTCCAGTGTACAGTTTTGCATTTGAATTCTGCAAACTTACAGAATGAGGCCGTTAATAAAGCAGATATGGGAACATGTATGTGGAAGAGTTTTGTAATCTGTAAAGCACAATCCAAACTCCTGACTCCCTCGTTACTCTCTAAAATAGCCTCGTTTAATCTGATTTTTAGCTGCTCCATTGTATTAACTTATAAAGAATTATATTGTAATTTCTTTTTCTTCCTTTTAGTATTTAGTGTCTTTGATCCAGGACAAGCTAGGATGGATGTGGGTTTTCTACTTTTTTATTCTCATGGTAAGTGTGTGCTCTTTTTTTTTTTAAACTAGTCATTTTTCCTATTAATTTAGTTCAAAGCATTTACTTAAGTCACTTCTTGAAACCAACAGAATTGCTGATTGCTTTTAAAGACCCTTTTGTAAAAAAGTAACATTTTATTAGTCTAAAGACACATTCTCTTTTGAAGGAGGAAAAGGGCCCTCAGTTTGCCCTTGGCCTGAGTTTCATGAGCATTGCCATTTATAATTCCAGAAAAACAACAAGAGACTTGTTTAAAGCATTGCCAGCCATTAATCAGTATACTTTTCCAGGCTGTGTATATCTGCTAAATATAATTTGAGAATTCATTTTTTTTTTTTAGATAGAGTCTCAAGCTGTCACCTTGGGTAGAGTGCTGTGGTGTCACAGCTCACGGCAACCTCCAACTCTTGGGGCTTAAGCAATTCTTTTGCTTCAGCCTCCCAGGTAGCTGGGACTACAGCATCTGCCACGATGCCTGGGTTTTTTTTTTTGCGGTTGTTGCGATTGTTATTGTTGCTTTAGCTGGCCTGGGCTGGGTTCAAACCCGCCAGCCTCAGTATATGTGGCTGGTGCCCTACCCATTGAGCCACAGGCGCCACCATAATTTGAGAATTCTGAAGGAAATTACAATGTAAGCCAAGCACCACAGGGTTAAAAAGGAAACATTGTAGAATTAAAAAAGAAGCATTGCTACAATTAACACTGTCCTGTGTGTCACTTCTAAAATAGCGGTAGCTTCTTGAGGAAGTTTATGCCTTATGCCTTGAGGAAGTTTATCCCATTGTTGGCTGGGATTCTGTGGAAATCCTAGAACAGAAGGAAATACCCCAAACAGAAGAAGGCCTGTGCTTTTAAAATGTTGATGGACTTGATCACATTATTGGTGAGACAGTGCTCAAGACATGTTGAAACTCTCGACTTGAAAGAGTCTAGTGAGGCTCGGTGGCTGTAGCTCGAATGGCTAATGTGCCAGCCGCATGCACCAGAGTCGGCGGGTTCAAATCCAGCCCGGGCCTGCCAAACAACAATGACAACTACAACCAAAAAGTCACCGGGTGTTGTGGAGGGTGCCTGTAGTCCCAACTGCTTGGGGAGCTGAGGCAAGAGAATTGCTTAAGCCTAGGAGTTGGAGGTTGCTGTGAGCTGTGATGCCACAGCACTCTACCCAGGGTGACAACTTGAGGCTCTGTCTCAAAAAAAAAAAAGAAAGAAAGAGTCTAGTGGTGGCCTTGCCCACCAGGGATGCATTTAGTATCCTGTCCTCAAATCCAGGGCATCCTAACTAGAGGCAGCTTTAGTTATCCTGAGTCCAGAAAGCTGTCCTCTTGCTTTATCCAAGGAGCCCTGGGATGGTCCAACTCTAGGAATTCCCTGGAGCTTTCTTCTAATTGCCATTTAGCTTCAGAGACTGGGCCATATAACTCTTGTGTTAATTTCTGACATCCATGCTGAGTAGAGGGAGGCACCCTCTGATGATCCTGGTGGTGTGTGACCACACTAGGAATTGTAGTAAAAGAAAACTGGATCATAAGAATCACTGTTTTTAATCTGAGCTCCAGGATCAATTTTCTGTTCTATCTATGGCAAATTATTTGTGTACTTCATTCTCTTTTTGACAACTGTAATGTGACATTATTTTGAATTATTAACTATAATTTTCAAAATCATTTTCTGATTCATTGAAGATGAAAAATTATCTTTGAAGTCAAAATGAATGTAATTGTCCAAATCCATTATTATGTTCAAAATGTGATGCTCTAACAAAAGTAATTGAATGTCACTGTGTATTTAATACTTTTTTCTCTTCGCAGACAAGTTGTACAGTTCTCTTTATCTCACCATTAATAGTGAGGGAAATACTCTATCTTGTGCGAAGGAGACAAACTCACATATTGAGTGAGTGACTGGTGCTCCCAAGGCAGAAAGAGCAACGGGAAACATATCAGGACTAGTAGGTTTTTAATTCACCTTGTTTAAGGCTAGGAGTGCAACATAACCTCAGGTTGTCAGGCGTCTCTGAACACTGCCCACCACCCGGGATGCTGACCAGTAATGAAGGCTGGGCTATTTTTCTACACTACAGGAATTATTGTTGGTGATTTTTACTGTTGTTTCATGAATGTACTGAATGGCTGATGGATCTGCCAGCATCTTTGTTTGGCCTGTTCAGATTTATCCCTTTACATTGAATGTTGTATTGGCCCTGCACCCTTGTTCTTCAGCTTCGAAAATTGAGAAAACAGAAGGTGGAGCCACACGTGGTTTGTGTGTTCTCTAACAGGAAGGGTCGTGGCATTTTGCTTTGGTAATAAGTTTGTAGAAAGTGGCTCATCTTTGAAGCATCAGATTTTGATAAACTGCTCAAGCTGGATCAAGCTGTACGCTTGCTTTGGACAAAGAATCCCTCTGTTAACTCTAGTGGGAAAGATCACACTACATGCCTGCTGGCTTAGTCACTTGGTCTGGTCTAAACGTCATTCAGGGTGAGAAACTGAAATATCTTCAAATTACTGTCAACTTGTTTTCCTTTGTCTTCCTTCAAGATTAACTTCAACTCCTGGGAAGTGTTTAGTCTTCCTTTTAAAGACCAGAAGGTACATCAGTTAACTCGAACATTCCATTGTGTAACTCACAGCTGAAGCACTCAACCCCACATTTGCTGTCTAGGAACTTTGGGGTCCTCTAGGACGCTAATCTGCTTACTCTCAACTGGGTTCCTGGAGTTACCTCAGCAGGAGACTAGAATTAGAGAAAAGGGAAAGCCCTTTTGTCCCAGTGTTAAGTACAAATGACCCTCAAATTATGGTGGGGTTATGCCCCAGTAAACCCATTGTAAGTTGAAAATATTCTAAGTTGAAAATGCATATAATACAGCCGAGCTTCCAAACAGCCTACCGTACATGTGCTCACAGGTGGCCTAAGTCATTTAACACAAACCTTATGTTACAATGAAGCCTTGAATATCTTACGTAATTTATCAAATACAATACATTATGTCAAAATCACAACAGTTTACATCACTGTAAAGTAAAAAAGAAGTCTAGGACGGGCTCCCGTGACATTGAATCACATCTGTGGATTGCTAAGGCCCTGAGGGGTGTCCGTTCTTTAGAAGATTGTAGAGTGTGTGTCTCCAGGGCTGTGAATTCTATACTAATTACCAATATTTTTAGGATCATCCTATATATATATACATATATATATATTCTAAATTATGTAAGTGAACAAGGGGGGGAGTGTGCAATTTTGAGGAGTACTTAATTTGCATTGGGTTAGGGAATATTTTTCAACCCCTTGCTTTACACTCTGAAATGTGGTGTGTTTATGAACTTGTTAATGATATTTAATCATGCAGATTTCCAATCAGTGTATTTCTCATTTACTGACAAAAAGGGAAAATATGAAACACAGGAAGGGAAAATAAACTGACTTTCGTAATAAATCTGTGTGCATTTGGTTATTTAAATCTGTACAGTGAGTTTTGAGATTGAGTCTGTGATCAGTGCCTTTGGTTTCCTGATACTGAGTGGTACCAAGGACTCCTGGGCAAGCTGGCATTGACCCCACTGCACTGCTGGGTCACACAGCTTCTCCACATGAGGTGCTAGGTGCCTCTGTTTCTGTTCTGTGAAAACTACTTTTTCTTTGTGAAAGAACTGTGCTCAATTTGAGTGAATTGCTTAGTTGTGATTTAAGATCTGTCTGTGGATGAACCCCATTTTATCATTGAACCTCTTGCTGACATTTGATTCAAAGAGTTTCCTGTCCCCCACTATCAATATGATTGCATCTTTGTGTCCTGACACCAACCAGTGTCTTATACCCAGTTTCACTTTAGGTGGGGGAGAATTCTGACCTCTCCAGGGGCCCCAAGCTATCCATGAAATGAAATTATAAATAAGCACCTAGCCCTGGACAAAAATGATATGTTGCCCTATGGATATATTTCTTTATTCTAGTCCTGTCAATCTGTATAGGAATGAACTGGAACAACATCTAAGAGTTCACTTCACTTTCGTGTTAATTTATTTCCTTTGAAGAAAAGGCCATAGCAAAAGCTAATTAGAAAATGCGTTCTTCCCTGACAGATTGCTGCTGCTACTCAGTAGGTTGAAATAAAATGCTGTGACCTGTCTTTTCAAAAGCTGTTTTCTCCTTCCTTATGCTTTCAAAGGAGGAAATGTCTCTCCTCTTTCCTGGGCATTCTGTCCTTTCCTGAGGGAGCAGAGTGCCACGTCCACATCTACATGGGATGCTTAACAGAGAAACGGCATCAGTTTAGCTACAGTCTGTCATATGGTTAAGAGCAGGTCTCCAGGGAGAGCAGTGGGCTCCGTGTGTGACCTCAGGCCCCCCTCCCACTCTGCCAATTGTTGCATTCATAGTTTTCAACTGTTTTAGGTCATAAAACCTTTTGAGAATCTGAAAGCTACTTATCTTCTTCCCAGATCAAGATACACATATGAAAAAACATTCAAAATTTTCATATTGGGCCTTCATAGGCCAAACCTTGAAGCCCATTGTTGGACCACAAAGCCTTGGTCAAGAGGATCAAGGGCCTGGCACTGAGGTTCTCCACAGTCCACTTCGGTTGAGTTCCTTACTGACTCCCATTTCCTTTCTAGATGAACCTGCAGAATCAGACTGGGGAGCTCGCTGCTCACTCCAGTGGCGGTGTGTGTTCTCACTCCGTGGCTTCACACCCCTCCGAAATGCCCTTTTTATACTATCAGCTTTCTGAACCTTAATTTTCCTTCAGAGCTTGACCTCATTTGAGAAACCTTTCCCAACCAGCCTTCCTGGCCCTCTGCCTTCTCTCTTTCCTTTGGTGGTAATGGCCGTGTTATTTCTTTGTGGCTTAGTGGTTCCCGCCTTCCCTATTTTTATATCTAACTCCCCAAGGAAATGGTTGTTCTTTTTCTTCAGTGCCTGGTTCCTCGTATGGCTGATGCTGAATATGTGGGTTGTCTGCAAAGGTGGGAGGAAGGTGAGAGAGTGGGTGGGGGCAAAGCAGGCTGCAGCTCCCTGGCCCTGCCAGTCGCCCTCCCGGGTGCTCCGCGTGCGACACTGCCCCCCTGCGCTAAGTGGCTTCAGACTGTCGGCCGCCCAGTTCTCAGACTGTGTAGCTTTCGATGTGTTCTCTTGTCCTTCAGGCTCTGTCAGGCCTCCCTGGAGCTGAGCAGCAGTGGATGGTGAGCTTTTCATTCTAGTATGAGCTTCGTGTTACTCAGGCTACTGTCTTCTTTCCTGCTGCGTGTTTCCCCCTGGACTGCCTGCCTTCTGCATTCATTCAGATTCCTTTAGTCCACTCCAGCCCTCCTTGGTGCCCCATCTCCATGAGGTATTTATTTATTTATTTATTTATTTATTTATTTATTTATTGGAGACAGGAGCCTCAAGCTGTTCCCCTAGGTAGAGTGCCTATTTATTTATTTATTTATTTTTATTTTCTTTTATTTTTTTGAGACAGAGCCTCAAGCTGTCCCCCTGGGTAGAGTGCTATGGCATCACAGCTCATAGCAACCTCCAACTCCTGGGCTCAAGCGAGTCTCC